AGCCCCATAATGCATCGCGCCAGCATAGTGTGCAGATACAGAGTTAGAACAGATAACTTAAAATTAAAAAGTACTTCAACGTAAAAAGCGTACTCATAGGCTTCAAAATAAACAAAAGTGCAGATTTATTTTAAGCAGACGTGCCTTTTCATGTAATCAATGTTTCAGTCCAACTACCTTGACATATTAAGGAAAGCTTGTTAATGGGACTGAAATGGTGAATGTATGTAGGGCACAACTGTAAAAAATTTTTATTTTGAAGTCCTGTGGGTGTGCTCTTCACTTTAAATATGTTATTGTGCTGGAGTATGCACCTAGCAACAAGACTGGGCCAATATCTGCTCATTACATATGGTACATATTAATGAAATTTCTCTGTGTATTATGCATTTATAAATGTACATTAATATGTGTAAATATAATAGAGATATAAAACTAATACACACATTAATATACATGTCATATACTAATGGCGGATCCAGAGCCTGAGCCTGAGAGGGGCACTTGTAGATTATTTAAAGAAATATTCCATGCACAATAACCACTACTCCTCTGTGTAGTGGTTATGGTGCCAGGAGCGTCGGCACCCCCTCCCAGAGTAAGTCGTCAAACCGTTTAAGAACAGTTTGACAACTTACCTGGAGTCTGCTGGGATATGGGGCTGTAGTAGGGTATAGGAGCAGTGGTGCAATGTGTGTGAAAGGTTCAGTGTGTGGGTGGGCAGTGTGTAAATATGTATGGTGTGTGTGTGTGGGGGCAGTGTGTGAATGTGTATGGTGTGTGTGTATGGGGCTAGAGTTCACTCCTACTACTGGGACGACCAGGAAGTGGTGAGAGTGAACTCTAGCCCGTAGCTCCAGGGCTAGAGTTCACCCTCGTGAGAGCCGGAGCGTTGCCCCAGGTCCTCTCTTCCTCCCCTGCCGACTGGCTGCACGGTGCCTGTGGAACGGGGAGGGAGATCGGCCGGCAGGGGAAGGCCTTGGGGGCTTTGTGATATATACTGCCCCTATGTGTGTCTCTTTATCTCCAGCCCCTCTGTGTGCCTTTTTGTCTCCCCCAGTCACTCTGTATGTTTCTTTCTCCCCCTCACTGCTCCTCTGTGTCAATGTCTCCCCTCTCCTTCCCAGTCTCTCTCTTCCCCTCTGCCTCTTTCTTCCCCTCCCCTTGTGTGTCTCTCTCTCATTTCTCCCTCTTTGTCTCTCTCTTCCCCCTCTGCCTCTTTCACCCCCTTTCCCTGTGTCTCTTCCTCCCCATCTCTCTCCCTCCCCCTTTCCCTATGTCTCTCCCCTCCTCCCCCCTTTCCCTGTGTCTCTCCCCATCTCTCTCCCTACCCCCTTTCCCTGTGTCTCTCCCCATCTCTCTCCCCCCCTTTCCTTGTGTCTCTCCCCCCTCCTCCCCATCTATCTCCCCCTCCTTTCCCTGTGTCTCACCCCTTCCTCCCCATCTCTCTCCTCCGCTTTCCCTGTGTGTCCTCTCCCCCCATCTCTCTCCCCCCTTTCCCTGTGTCTCCTCCCCCTCCACCCCATCTCTCTCCCTCCCCCCCTTTCCTGTGTCTCTCCCATCTCTCCTCCCCTTTCCTGTGTCTCCCCTTTCCTGTGTCTCTCCCTCCTCCCATCTCTCCTCCCCCCTTTCCCTGTGTCTCTCACCATCTCTCTCCCCCCCCTTTCTCTGTGTCTCGCCCCGCTCCTTCACGGCTCCAGGCACTGCTTGTTGTGAGTGTGAGCCACTGTAAATTAAGGGCAGAGGGCACTTGCACTGCGGTAAAGATGGGGCTGGGCAGGAGGAGAGTGCAGTGCAATCAGTGCACTCCCCTCCTGTGGGTCACCAGTAGACTGGTGCACCTGCCCAGGATCAGAGCCGGTGCAAGGATTTTTGCCGCCCTAGACAAAATAAAAATTTGCTGCCCCCCCATGTGACATCACAATGACCCACCCATATGAACTAATGCCAGTGCTGCACACAATGTGTGTTTACATTAAAAAGCCTGCAGGGACCAGCTATAGACACCAGAACCACTTCATTAAGCTATAGTGTCCCTTTAATGTGAGGTACATTATAGATTAGTGTCACTAATAATATACTAGATTGCCTACTTACAAGCAGATGAGGATGATGGCTGCAGTTTGGCTCCACTGGTCTGGTGTAGAACAGGATCTCTGGAGGCTGTTTGCAACTGTGGTCACAAAATTCAATGTTCTGGGAGAATTGGAAGCAGCTCCATTTTTTGGGGTCTGGGCCCCAGGGCCTGACGGTGAGTATGCCCATAAGGCCCACTCATAAGTTCCACCCACATGAGTTCGCTCACAGGGAGTGGAGTGTGTAGGGGATGTGTTATGTGTTATTGTAGGGGATCTAATATGTGTGCTTATGGTATGTAGTGTATAGGGTTACCAGTTTGTGCAGGTGATGAGTGTGTTTGTGTGTAGTGGAAGCAGTGTGTATTTGTGTATAAGGGATGTATTATGTGTTTCTGGTTGTGTGTAAGGGATGCATTGTGTGAATCTGTGTTTGTATGCATAAGGGATGCAAGTGTGTGTCTGTATGTGTGTGCATGAGATGCATTGTGTTTCTGTGTGTATGTAAGAAAAGAAGTGTGTGTGTTTGCATGTGTGTACGGGTTTGCATTGTCTGTTTCTGTGTATGTGTGCAAAGGATGCATTGTCTTTGTGTGTAAGGGTTGCATTGGGTGTGTGTGTGTAATGGATGCATTGTGTGTTTCTCTGTGTGTAAGGGAAGCATGTTGTGTTTCTGTATATGTATAGGGATGCATTGTGTGTGTGTGCGCGCGCGTAGTGTGAAAGAGCTCCCTGTCTTGGCCCCTGTCCTATAGAGCTGCCCCTTCTGTCCCGTAGAGCTCTCCCCTGCACCTTAGTGGTCTCTCCTCTCCCCCACCCTCCCCTAGCGGTCTCTTCTCACACTCACCCACCCTCCCTGTGCTCTTCTCATCCCCCCCTCCACCCTCCCTGTGTTCTTCTCACTCCTCCCTCTATGTGTTCTCCTCACACCCCCTGTGTTCATCTTACCCCCCTCTTCCCTGTGTTCTTCTTACTTCCCCCCTTGGTCGTCGTATTCCCCCACCTGTTCTTCTTACTCCCCCACCTGTTCTTCTTACCCCCTTCTTCTTATTGCTCCTCCTTCTTCTTCTTACTCCTCCCTCTTCTTCTTACTCCCCCCTCTTCTTCTTACTCCCCCCTCTTCTTCTTACTCCTCCTTCTTCTTCTTACTCCTCCTTCTTCTTCTTACTCCTCCTTCTTCTTCTTCTTACTCCCCACTCTTCTTCTTCTTACTCTTTTTCTTTTTTTTTTTGACAATCTCGTGTTTATTAGTATTTTAGGTAATGAATACAGAACAGAACATAGTACAAGAAGGAAATCCCCGGCACTCAATTACATGATGGAGACGTCTTGCGGTTGCCTCGATGCCCGAGTGCTGCGTCCCCTTTCCCCCTCTGCTAGGACTCCCCCTCCTGCTCGCCATCTCGTCACCTTCCACCCCCCCCCCCCCCTTACCCTCTCAACCGGCTTCTGTACAGCGATATAGAATACCAGGGCCAGTATATGAGTATTAGTTTGTTGCCCATCACGCCCCCTGCTCATTTCGCTATGGCTAGTGTTCCTAAGGCTCTTCGCCTCAAGCTCTATGCGTCAGGGCCTGTGCCGCAAGCCCTTCCTGATAGCAGGTTAGTGTGGGCGTTGCGTCTGGTGCCCCCACAACCACTGCCGGTGAGTTTTATGGAGTGGTCTCCTGTCACCTCTTGGCGGGCGCCCCCCCGAGGCTGTCCCCCTCTCCAGTCCCTCCAGTGTATTCGTGAGTCCTAAGACCGAGTTAGATCCATTACACCTCGTTGTCCCCTACTCCCCCCCCTTGGCTATGTTATCCCACACTTCCACAGTATCGTCCCCCCCGTCCCTAGTCCCTCGAGCTCTAGAACCACCTTGCCCACCTTCCCGCAGCGTACAGCTTAGGTCTCCCCAGCCCTCCCTCCCCTCCTCCCTTCTCTCCTCCCCCCTCCCCTTCTGTGCCTCTACACTCCGTCCTGTGTCGGGAGTGTTAACTAATCGTCCATCCCTGGTTAACGTGGCTCTTGTGCTAGGCTCGCGCCCAGTGTGTCCCTGTCTCGATCCCCCCCCCCCCCCCCTCCCCCCACTCGTAGCAAGTTCCCCCCCCCGGTCACCCCTCCGCCGGTACTATTGTCATTTAGCACTCGTCACGCATTGTGGGCTGGGCGGGCTCGGGACATGTGGAGGCCGTCGCCGGTCTCCCCAGGGCATCTCCCCCTCCGTGGCAGGCAAAACCACAATGGAAACTATGAATAAAATGCTACCCTGGGTGGGCGCATTTGTGAAACCAAATGCACGTAGTCGACAGAATGGATGGCGGCCATTTTGTATCCCGAACGCAGGCAGTGGTACCTGGCTGTCAAGTGCTTGGAACTGATTTAGACTAGGCACTCCTGCGAACAGTGGTGAAGATGGAACTGCTGCCCGTTCAAGTTCCCGACCACTTATACGAACGGCATTCGGGAGATGTGAACTACCGTCGAGGGGGAGCAGTCGACGCTTGAAAGCATTCGGATATTTTGTGTAGTTTTCATAGGGATATCCTCGAACTGAGACCTGACAATTCCACGATTTATCTGGAACTATTTTGGGCCTCTAACTCGTGGCCGGACAGTCAAAATGTTACGTTGATGGCAATTCCAAACCACTGAACCCATCTGTAATGGACACGGGTTTATTATGGTCTTATTCATTAGAAATCACTTAATACAGTTTATTATGTTGAGTGCCATTTTAGAATTGTACCATTAGGGGGAGTAGTGAGCACCTTTTTGGAGACTTTCTTTGTCTGAGCCATGCGGCCAAGATGTGTGTCAGTTTGGATATTAATTGTTAAATCATATCTCTTCGAGTGTACATTCTTTTTGTTTGTTTTTTGGGTAATACTTTCAGGAGAGTGTTATTTGACTCCCATTGTGATGCATGCCACATGTGACTAACTCCATTTTGGAATAGCCCATATGGTGAGTAGACTCCATTTTGGATTCATCCTATTTCATTTGTACTTTGGGAGCAACATCTAAATTATTAAGATATACCAGTTAATACCATATCTGGTATTAATTTAGATATTTGGAACAATTAATAAAATTCTCAGTATATTAGCGATAATTTTCCATTTCACCATCTGAGTGTTTTTTGGATCTCGACTAATGTATGGGGGAAAAGCTATACTAGAGATATTTCCCTTCACTATTGGATAGAGCTATTTCACATTGGAAACGGAAATCCATGGTGGCGATATACTGCCGGTCCGCCACAGGGGCTTCTGTTTAAAAAAAAAAAAAGCAGGTCAGAATTGTGGTATATTAGGAAATGCCATGCCTTCCAGTTTGGCGGCTGGACACTCAAGGTCATCCTCTTGCCCACACAAACTTCATTAGGTGGCTATTTACAGATTTAAAAAAATGTACGTGGTAGTTGTAACGGCAAGGCGCGGAAATTATATTGGAGTCTAGGGAGTAGTGACATCTTAATTGTGACAATTCATTCAGTCCAGGTCAGGAACAGTGGTGTCCAACTGTGCAATAGTCTGTGACAGTTGTTCCAAACTCTAAAACAGTTTGCTGCATAAAGGTCTGCAGGGTTTTCGATAAAGGTTGAGTCCTAGATATTCAATATTGTCAGTTCTTCATTTAAAATCATAGGTCTGATTAAGCATATATGAATACCAATCAAAGGTTGCCTCTGTTTACAGAGGAGTGTGTATAACAAAAGTGCACAAAAGAGTCAAAAAGTGATTTACAGGCAGCTCAATACACTAGTGTGGAAATATCCTCTATTCCACTGAATAAATTTAGTAGATATTGGTGCGGTGTAAGTGACAAGGACCTACACCTATAAGTGGAGCGCTCAAACACAGATAAATCTTACCAAAACGTAGTCTCATTCAATGGTAAAATATGGGGTACATGTCAAAATAAAATACAGAAAATACAATATAGTGTAGATGGTACTAAAAAATGGCTTCACAGTGATTATAATAATATTGTGTTGAATATTACACTCACATTTCAAGGAGCCTGTATATAGAAAACACTGGCTCCGTATAAAGGCTTGTGTGCTGTTATGGTAGCACCACCCTCCTACTTCGGCTTGAAGAATTTCTCGAGAACACGAAAAAAGAGAAGAAAGCAAACCGATGTGTAGACTTCTGGTGATAAATGACACAGATATGTGTTCAATAAATGAGG